TTGATTGCAAAAAACACTCCCAAACTTTATATTGATCAAAAGAAAAACAACTGCTTTCTACTGGGAAACTCAAATTTCTGTTAAAAACCAAAATTTTTTTAAAAAAATAAAAAAAAAAAAAAAAAAAAAAAAAAGTTGGCTGAAAATCATAAGTCAAAAGTATTTTAGGACTACCCCATCATGAGAGCCATGCATTGCAGGAGCTGCAAACTGTCCAGGGAGCCATTGGGAGTGGGGTAGGAGGGTAGAGAAAAAGGCACTTTGAACTAAAAATTTATGGAACAATGAGACAACTCTTCCAAATACACTCTGGGAGGCACTTTTGGCAAAAATATTAGAATTTGTAGGAAGTTCATTGAAGGAAAAAATGAGAAAAAAAAATCTGTGGTTGATTTCACTTGTAGGCATGGAGGAAAGTCCATGTTTTCTGGCCATTTTTATTACTGTTTTATACAGTAGTTTTTGGTAAAGAAGTTTAAATGATGGAAACTTGACTGTGATGGTTGCTTTGAATGGTAAAAGTAAATACTGTGATCTCGATTTTGCAATGAGCGTAAGAATGAGGCTTAGTCATTTATGCTGAGTGCATTCTGAGTGCATGTACTCAAACAGTAGCATTGTCAGGCATGGATATCCTAAAAATGTTATGCAGATACAGAGTTTGAAATCTTGTAGACTTCCAAATGAGAAAATGTTTGCTATTATATTTGCAACTTGGGAAAGAACAAATATAAGAGCAAACAGAAGGGAATGTTTAAACAGCAAAGGGAATCTTGCCAGTTCAAGTGCTATGAAGTAAGTTTAATACAGAGCTTGTTGATGTTTTCCTCTGTTTGGTCTTGTTATTTGCTTTCACAGTGGGTAGCCTATGAGGAACCAAAGGGCAAGTGCAAAGTGCTAGTTCAGCAGTAATGAGAGTGTTAGGAAGCTGTTTGAAAGCCCATCTGCACACTGGCAGCAGCCTTTTGCAATCTGTTCATCACAAGCAGCGCTGAGTGCGGTGTTTGCTGCTGCAATTTCCTTATTTGATTTGCCCATAAATTTACACAGGCATTGTGCTTCTCATTAAGGTAGAGCAGGAAATTAAATTCATAAAAAATATTTCCCTGGGAATATTATCATTTGAAATAGAAAGTATTTCGCTTTTTCACTGTAATAAGCTATTTCTAACGTGTCCGCATTTCTCAGTTAAAGCGGTGATGTTTTGAATCAGTATTTCTAATGTATAGAAAAAATGAATCAAAATAATAGAATCGAAATATGAACCAAATCAGCTTCTTTATCAATTAAATTATAAACATCTTCTGTATGACTAAGTGCGTAGCCTCTGCATGCTGTAGTTCTGAGCAGGA